AAGTTTTGAGTTGGATAAACATTTCTTGTTGAGCTTTGAAAATTTAGACATCAAATGCATTCCATGTCAGTGGCCTAAGACATAATGATAAATGTTTTTTGGATATTACTGAAGAGGAGTACTGTCCTCAGATAATACTCCTCTTGTGATTTTGAGGTTGCAAAGTCTCTTAGTGATCGGCTAGTTGTATACAATTGTGAGGAGCCCCTCTTGGCTCTCTGTCAACTGCGCCATCTCACCCTTTCATCATCAGGCTTCTTGGGAGGGTTTATATTTATTCTCTTAAAGTCCTTACCCACAATTACTCTTCAACCTGCTGCAAACTGATTGACCCCTACCACATTGAAATTGTTCTTTTGTCATCAACCCATCTTTACTAAGAATAGCCCTAATACACTGCAAACCACCTCTTCTTGAAATACTCCCTTTCCTTCACTCTCGTAAGACCAAGTGCTCTTGATTTTCCTCCTATCTATCTAGCTAATTCTTCTCACTTACCTGCTAAACCTTTTTTCCTGCCTAACCTTTACAGGTTGTCTTATGCTATACTCACCCTGGGTGATCAGATCTATTCCCATGGTATCATTTGCCATGTATTGATAGATTCTGATGATTCCCAAATCTCTCTTTGTAGCCTAAATACCCCATGGTCACTTCAAACTTGAGACATCTAAATTGAAATCTTTTCCCCACCCCTTTCCTATTCTTGTACAATTCTAAGTTGAAAACCTTCCTCAGCTCCTTTATAATCCATCAGCAAAATATAGTCTATTCTACTTCTGAAATATACCTCCAATCTGTCCTCTTTGCTCTGTCTCCATTGCTTGCACATCTAGACTTGTGACAGCCCCAAACGTGTTTTGTTAATTGTTTGCTTAAAATCCTAGAGTGTCTCATTATACTTGGAGTGAAAAACTTCAAATCATGGCATATAAAGTTCTTCAACCCTGCCCTGTACCACTCTTCCTCAATTTACTAGACTAGCCACGTTGGTCCTGCTGGAATACTGTAGCTCTTTGTATGTCTTTCCATATAATTGTTCTTTTTTTTTTTCCTCTCTCTTGCCTTTTTAGAACTTTTATATTCTTTTGTTTCAGCGTAAATGCCACCTATTCAAAGAAGCCTTTCCTTACACCTGACCTCTTGCAAAGTAAGCCCCTCCATTATTCTCTGTCATAGGATATTATTTTCTTATACTTTATTATTTATTGTTTGCTTTTTCCATCAGCAAAGTCTATTTTATTCCTTAACATGGCCCTTAGATGAATGTTTTGAATCACTACTGCCACTGTGTTAATTCGAGTCCACCGTTATGACTCAGGATTCCTACAACAGTATACTGTCTGATTTCCATGACTTTATTCTTTTCTTTTCATGCGTTCTCCATACTTTCTCAGAGATGTTTTTCAAATGTAAACCCTCTTTAGCATGGCTTTAGCAGCTCTTGGTGACCTGGCCCCTTCTTAAATTTCTAGCCTTATTCCTCAAGTTTCTTATTAATCTTCCCACACATCATTTTCTTTTAAACTTTTTATGCTGCTTTTTTTTTGTCCCCCAAAATATTACAGGGGTACAAATGTTTAGGTTACATGTATTGCCTTTGGCCTACCTGGATCTGTTTATGCTGTTTTTAAATATAACCACATCATCACCATACCTCTAATTTTTAATCCTAATGCTTATATTTGGTGTGGGTTTTAAAACTAGTTGCTAAATTACCCAAATGCTTTAGAGTCATAGAAATCTCATTTTCATAGTAATTATTTCAAGTTTACTAGTTAACGTTTGCAAGTGTTCCTATACTGGGACTGTTTTAGAGTATAGCTTTGGCAATTGTTAAAATAACATTTCTGTTTTATCTTCTGGATAGAAAGCCTAGCTAATGTATTCATTAAAGATATTCTGTACTCTTTCTGATCTCATCTAAGTTGTCTGTTTATACAGGTGTAAGATTGCCAAATGATAATAAGAGGTGGCTTGAACCATTCTTCTGCCTTTTAAAGCTGGGTCATTTATGTTTATGTGTTTGGCATAACTTAGTAAACTGAAAAACAGTAAACGGTATCGATAAAGTGTGTAACAGATTAGGCAGTAACCTTTCCTTAGGAGCATACACAGACTCCAATTGTTAGAAATTATTTCTTTCCCCCATTTGAAAAAAACCTGATTTTTTTTTTTTTTTTTTTTTTTTTAATAGGAGAAGTGTTTGAAATTGAGGAGCACATCAGTGAGCGACAGGCAGAAGTATTGGCTGAGTTTGAAAGAAGGAAGCGAGCCCGGCAAATCAACGTTTCCACAGATGACTCAGAGGTCAAGGCTTGCCTTAGAGCCTTGGGGGAACCCATCACGCTTTTTGGAGAGGGCCCTGCTGAAAGAAGAGAAAGGTGCCCTTTCTAAATATTTACTTTTTTCTTTATTAATCACAGAGTTCTTGTCCAAATTTCAGTTGATCTTTCAGTTGAAACTTTAATGGAATGTTTCAGATAGCATTAAAAATATCTTAAGGTATGTTTGTATTGTTTAGCCCATAATCTGAGTCTTAGGCCAATTTTTATTCTACTATTGATTTTTCTTTATAGACTGTGAAGACAGTGCTGATCTCTTCCCTTCCTCCCCTCCCCAACATGAAGTTTTGAGTTGGATAAACATTTCTTGTTGAGCTTTGAAAATTTAGACATCAAATGCATTCCATGTCAGTGGCCTAAGACATAATGATAAATGTTTTTTGGATATTACTGAAGAGGAGTACTGTCCTCAGATAATACTCCTCTTGTGATTTTGAGGTTGCAAAGTCTCTTAGTGATCGGCTAGTTGTATACAATTGTGAGGAGCCCCTCTTGGCTCTCTGTCAACTGCGCCATCTCACCCTTTCATCATCAGGCTTCTTGGGAGGGTTTATATTTATTCTCTTAAAGTCCTTACCCACAATTACTCTTCAACCTGCTGCAAACTGATTGACCCCTACCACATTGAAATTGTTCTTTTGTCATCAACCCATCTTTACTAAGAATAGCCCTAATACACTGCAAACCACCTCTTCTTGAAATACTCCCTTTCCTTCACTCTCGTAAGACCAAGTGCTCTTGATTTTCCTCCTATCTATCTAGCTAATTCTTCTCACTTACCTGCTAAACCTTTTTTCCTGCCTAACCTTTACAGGTTGTCTTATGCTATACTCACCCTGGGTGATCAGATCTATTCCCATGGTATCATTTGCCATGTATTGATAGATTCTGATGATTCCCAAATCTCTCTTTGTAGCCTAAATACCCCATGGTCACTTCAAACTTGAGACATCTAAATTGAAATCTTTTCCCCACCCCTTTCCTATTCTTGTACAATTCTAAGTTGAAAACCTTCCTCAGCTCCTTTATAATCCATCAGCAAACTATAGTCTATTCTACTTCTGAAATATACCTCCAATCTGTCCTCTTTGCTCTGTCTCCATTGCTTGCACATCTAGACTTGTGATAGCCCCAAACGTGTTTTGTTAATTGTTTGCTTAAAATCCTAGAGTGTCTCATTATACTTGGAGTGAAAAACTTCAAATCATGGCATATAAAGTTCTTCAACCCTGCACTGTACCACTCTTCCTCAATTTACTAGACTAGCCACGTTGGTCCTGCTGGAATACTGTAGCTCTTTGTATGTCTTTCCATATAATTGTTCTTTTTTTTTTTCCTCTCTCTTGCCTTTTTAGAACTTTTATATTCTTTTGTTTCAGCGTAAATGCCACCTATTCAAAGAAGCCTTTCCTTACACCTGACCTCTTGCAAAGTAAGCCCCTCCATTATTCTCTGTCATAGGATATTATTTTCTTATACTTTATTATTTATTGTTTGCTTTTTCCATCAGCAAAGTCTATTTTATTCCTTAACATGCCCCTTAGATGAATGTTTTGAATCACTACTGCCACTGTGTTAATTCGAGTCCACCGTTATGACTCAGGATTCCTACAACAGTATACTGTCTGATTTCCATGACTTTATTCTTTTCTTTTCATGCGTTCTCCATACTTTCTCAGAGATGTTTTTCAAATGTAAACCCTCTTTAGCATGGCTTTAGCAGCTCTTGGTGACCTGGCCCCTTCTTAAATTTCTAGCCTTATTCCTCCCCAGTCTTCCTCTTGTACTCCATGCTCTAGCCATACTGAGCTATTTATGATTCCAAGTTCAACATGTTTTTCTAACCTCCAGACTTTTACATTTGTTTAACACACTGCCTCAACTATCATTTTCCCATTCTTGACCCCTTGACCTGACTAGTGAGGACTCAATTTAGGTAACACTTTTTCTATGAACCTTTCCCTGATCCTCTAGCACTCTGTGCTTACTGCTGCCATGATACTTAATATAATGCACTATAGTTCCCTGGTACTTTCTGTCTTCCCCCCAGGACTATGATACTTGAAATCAAGAACTGATTCTTAGTCATTGTGATATACTTAGTTCCTGAGTCAGTATCCAGCACATTGTGGCATTGAGTGAAGGTTGGCTGTCTTTACAGACCAGGTGGCAGTGTGGGGGCTAGTTGACTCTAAACTGGAAAGAGTAATTGCTTGTAGTTCAATTTAAGGAATTTTCAAATAAAGAAGACTGAATGAAAGAAATCACACTGGAAATTTAAGCATGCCCACTTGACTCTTAAAGAAGTTTGCTAAGGATTTGGATGGTGAGAGAATAGTGGAAGCATGCTCCCATTGAAGATGTACTCTTTTACAGTCTTATCTCAATAGTGTTTAAATTGCTTTTTTGTTACAGGTTAAGAAATATCCTCTCAGTAGTTGGTACTGATGCCTTAAAAAAGACCAAGAAGGATGATGAGAAATCTAAGAAGTCCAAAGAAGAGGTAGAATATGTCTTTGCCTTCACAGTATAAACATGAAGGAGATGAGGGAATAGTTCTCTCATTTTCTGCTTTCAATGGTTTGTTTTGCTAGGATGAGGGGAAAAATGTCCTTGAAGGCGCTACTGTTCAGGAACAGTTGTTGGCAATAGTTTGTGCTTCCGGTGTAGGTATGAATGGAGCTAAGTAAGCTTTCCAGTCATGAAAGAATCATTGCATTCCTGGTGTAACTTAACAAGGAACCAGAAACTATCTAAAAGACATCAGAAAAAAATACAGTAGAAAGCACATGTGTCTGACATTATCCTATTATCAGACTAATTCACCTTCTCTCTGGGCAGTTATGATAGAGAATTGTCAGCCGCGGGAGAGGCAGAAATGCTTCAGACTTAACATTTCTGCTCTTAATTTTCCTTTCAGTATCAGCAAACCTGGTACCATGAAGGACCAAACAGCTTAAAGGTGGCTAGACTGTGGATTGCTAATTATTCACTGCCTAGGTAAGGAAAAGAAAGAAGCATATTTTTTGTATGTCTCATCTCAGCCACTGAGGGTCTGCTTTATAATGACCCAGGTTGTTAAATGAAATTGAGTAAGATACATGTGTGGGCCCTTGTTTACAACCCATGTACTTACAGTAGTGTTTTTTCTGTGTCACAGGGCAATGAAACGCTTGGAAGAGGCTCGTCTCCATAAAGAGATTCCTGAGACAACTAGAACCTCCCAGATGCAGGAACTGCACAAATCTCTGCGGGTAAGATACTCTCAGTGATTGCCCAATATTTAAAGTTTCTTAATATTTATTAGATTTTCCTATTTGGGCACTTCTGGAAGGTAAAGGTAACTATTATTATTCCCTTCGCCCCCCCACCCCCCACCCCCGAGCTGTTTTGTTAGGAAAGGAGCCATCAGTTAAGGTGGCAGGAACCTACTATTCTTTCTGCTCAGGACAGGCCAATGGTTCTACTCTTTAATTCTCCCTTTTAGTATGTCAAAGGTGTACTTTAGATTTCTCCAGGCTTTTCTGTTTATATTTAGCTGACACAGAAGCTAGTGATACTAAGGCTATAGAAAACAGCATGCTGGAGTTTCAGATAAGCGTTGACTCCATCTATTAATATAATTGTCTCCTAACAGCAGTAAAAAAAACTATAGAAGAATCTTGGGGTGGTTTAAAATGGAAGTTGCCTTTTTTTTTTAAATGATAGAAAAGCCTCAGAACTCTTGGATTAACCTATTACTATCAATGATCACCATTTGTCCTTTTTTTTCTCTTTTGAAGTCTTTGAATAATTTCTGCAGTCAGATTGGGGATGATCGGCCTATCTCCTACTGTCACTTTAGTCCCAATTCTAAGATGCTGGCCACAGCTTGTTGGTAAGTTCCATTTTAAAGTGACATTTTTTCCTAAATGGGTGATAAGTTCAGGAAAAAATTAGCATTTGTCTTAGATGTCTATTTCTATGTCCTTTTCCTCCACTTCTCATGATCACAGATGCTACTGTTCTGCCCGCTGTATGATACAGTATAACCTTTGTTTAACGCATTAACTGCCATGTGGGTTGTATTTAACTCATAAGAGTTTTGAGCCCAGAGCCTCGTGAAGCATATGTAACTCTTGTCTCTTCACTTTGGGAGCCACGAGAACTATTTTTCAAGTTGCATATAATTCACACACAGAAAACAATAAAAAATAACAAATTTTTCGTTAAGTTAGAGAGAATTGTTTTGTTTTCAAAGTTTTTATTCTGTTTTCGTAATAAAACACCGTGGCCCCAAGGAAAAAAAATTTTTTTTTTTTCTGGTGTGGCAGTCAATGTGTTAACCATTCTTACGGTTTACCAGGGACCCCAGAGATCCATGACATGTATCAGTCTGTCTTGTTCTTGACACTTGTGTTTTGGAGCAGCTCATATGGTTACTTATAGACCCAACTAGTATCCACACCTCAATATAGCTTTTCCTTTTCAGTTATGTGACCTAGCTAAGATACTTAATCCCTGTAAGCCTCAGTGTCCTTAGAGATAAGATGGGGTGAGATAGTGTTTATAAAGCATTTTGCCTTGGTACCTATAGTGCTAAGCATCGAGTAAACATTAATTACTGTTTATCTTTATTTTGTTTTCTGCTTACCACCACATATGCAGAAAACTCTTAGGATATGGTAACTTTGTTGTTCATTTTATTTTGGTTTTGTTTTATTGTGGGACATGGCTGTTTAGTGAGAGAGAAAACTTACATTGAATGCACAGGAACTACTTGATTAGGCAGAAATTAAGACTGGTTCAGGAGAAGGCTAAGAAACTATACCCCAGTTACTTCAAATATAAAGTAGAAATTCCTGCCTATTTACTTCACAGGTCTGTTATAAAGATCATTTGAGGTAATAGATACAAAAGTAATTTGTTGGCTGGGCGCCGTGGCTCACGCCTGTAATCCTAGCACTCTGGGAGGCCAAGGCAGGTGGATCGCTCAAGGTCGGGAGTTCGAGACCAGCCTGAACAAGAGCGAGACCCCATCTCTACTAAAAAATAGAAAGAAATGATCTGGACAACTAAAAAAAAATATATATATAGAGAGAGAAAAAATTAGCCGGGCGTGGTGGCACATGCCTGTAGTCCCAACTACTCGGGAGGCTGAGGCAGGAGGATCGCTTGAGCCCAGGAGTTTGAGGTTGCTGTGAGCTAGGCTGATGCCACAGCACGCTAGCCAGGGCAACAGAGCCAGACTCTGTCTCAAAAAAAAAAAAAAAAAAAAGTAATTTGTTGAAAAATTTCCAAAATAAAAGGTCTTTAAAAAATTTAAGTTCTTTGTAAGTGGCAAAATGCTATTCATATTTAAGGAGATGGTATCATTATTAATATTATTCTTATTCAATAGTTTAATTTGTCCTACCTTCCCTCAAAAATTAGTCTAAAAGTTAAGGAGAATAGCAACTTGTACAATGTTAATTACACTATGGTAGAGGCCTCTGGTTGCTTGCAGCCTGGCTGTAACCTTTTCTTCTATAACCCTTCAAATTATAAGGCTTTTATTTCTTTTTTTCTGTCAGCCACTGTAATGTTTATTGGAGGTGAGAAAAGATTGTCCTTTAGTAATGTTACCAAGGTACCTTTTCCTTCCCAGACCAACCCTGGCTGAGATGCTTTCCTTTATATTTGATAGGAGTGGGCTTTGCAAGCTCTGGTCTGTTCCTGATTGCAACCTCCTTCACACTCTTCGAGGTAAGTTAGAGTTTCGTATAAATCTCCGTCTTTTTCCCAGGATGAGCTCTGTTACACCATAAACTCTTCCTGATACTCAGACTCAGTACACACAACATTAATTCTTGATTTCATTTGACTTGGTTTTGTCTGGCTACAAGGCTGGAATATAATGACTTTCATACACATCCACTTTTCTCTCATGTCCAGTCACACTCTGGCACTTTATAATCCATAAACCAAAAAAACAAAAAGTTTATTTCTGTTTTGCTTTTTTAAATAGTAGCTTACATTGAAATAGTTTATTTTTCAATAGTTGAATAGTCACTTTAACACTCTGTATGTCCACGTTTCCTAATGTATACTTATCTGTATTATTCATCATAGTCTGTATTTGTACACAGGTTATAAGGTGGTGGGAGCCCTTTAATTTTCATCTTTTACACTCCTTTAGGCCATAACACAAATGTAGGAGCTATTGTATTCCATCCTAAATCCACTATCTCCTTGGACCAAAAAGATGTCAACCTGGCTTCTTGTGCTGCTGATGGCTCTGTGAAGCTTTGGAGTCTTGACAGGTGAATATTACTGTTCTGTGGTCCATACCGCCATCACTAAAGTAGTTAGTGGATTGGTTGGCTTTCAGGACCTCGGGGTTAATGTGAGAGATGCCCTAAGAGTCACGGTAACTTAGTGTGAAAATAAAGTGGAGGATTTCTTTCTTAGACCTTTTCTCACCAGAGGAGTTGTGCCATGTTTTTCTTGACTGTTAACTTTGGACCTTGATTTTTGCCTCCAGCCTAGTGGCCACTGTTTCTCAGCTCCATTTATTCCAGAAAGATCTAACCTACCTCCTACACAGTAGAGGTAGATTGTCTAAAGATAATATTCTTGGCAGCGTGTTGGTTTTTGGTAAACAGCCATAGGGGAGAAGAAAGTGAGTTTCTGTCTAGCACTATTGCCAAGGAAGTGATGTCTCCTCCCAATAGCGTCATCTTTTACCTAGAATATATTTCCCAACTACAGCAATTTTTTTTAATGTGGTTATGATTATTGTTTACCGAAAATTTTGGAAGCACCTTGTTGGCTAAAAGACATCTGAATTTAATTGCTTAGTTTTCTTTCTTTGGGAAAACATATAAAGGTTTTTATTCCAAAAAATTTTTAAGGAGCTAATTAGTGTCTACACTCTTTGCCAGACAGGGTCTCACCTATGAGCACAGCAAGTTTTAATTGGCTTTGGTAATACTTAGCAATATTTATTCCCCTGGGGCTTTGGTTCTATGTATGCACATTGACAAAGTTCCCTTTTTAATTGCCCTCTTTAGGGTTCATGTTTATTTCCTTTTTGTTATAACAGTTTCAGATCTTCTTTCTGTGATTGATGGTTAAGCAGAATTTAATGGCCACCAAAATGAGACTAAGCCTCTGTCTGTTTAGCAGTTCCTTTTCCCATTTTTGAACAGGCCTAAATTTAAGAAAGATTTACCTGTAATCCACTTGTACCAAAACTAACTGATTTCTGTATGCTCACATCTCTACCAAAGTATATTTTCTTTCTAGAATCCAGGCACTCCTTTGGTGCAGAGTGACTATTTTGCTTATCAGGCTAACGTATTTTTTATTTATCTCTAATCCTAATGGTGTGCCATTAAGATTAAGAGTTTATTAACGCAGTGAATTGAGGTAGAAAGCCAGTGCTTATCAAAGTGCTGTGGGCAGTTGTGCACTGTGAGCACACGAAATAGTCTCAAATCTTTTAAAACCTTAGGAGGTGGCTTAGATTATTGTTAGCCCTAAAGTTTTAACAAATTCCAAGTATAGTTACAGTTTAGCCCCTCATATTGTACAGAATGAGTATATCTGCACAACCGTTAATAAACTTAATGAATATTTATGTGTCTATAGAATCATTTAGTTGCGTATGTTTGGTTCCTTTTAAGTGATGAACCGGTGGCAGATATTGAAGGCCATACAGTGCGTGTGGCCCGGGTAATGTGGCATCCATCAGGGCGTTTCCTGGGCACCACCTGGTAAGCCATCCTATTGTTGTTTTATCCGTATAGGCCTGTGGCATCTTGTTAACCCTTTATGGCTATCTACCAGGTAAAGTTTTAGAGCAGAGATCTTCAAGTAGGATTTTCTTGGCCTGCTGTGAATTGGAATCAGAAGATAGTGTTTAATATAGTTAGGGTTAAGTGTATTTGCTTTTGAATTGCAATTAATCTGAAATTTCAAAGTCACTAATTGCCAGAAAACTAGAATTTTTACTCTTTCTTCTCTTTCTTGACCAGTGTATAGTTCTTTGCTATACATTGTATTATAATCTCTCTGCCAACAAATCAGTCTCCCTTTCTGGTTCTATAAGTTCATTGAGGCCAGAATCTGTTAAAGAACTTTTTCATTGAGGTATAATATACATGCCGTGGAATGGATTTACTTAAGTGTACAATTCTGTCATTCTTTACAAATGCATAACACCATGTGACCCATACCCCTGTCGATACAGAGAACATTTCTGTCATCCCAGAGAGTTCCTGCATGCCCCTTCCCAGTCAAACCCCCCCCCGCTAAAGCAATCACTGATCTGATTTCTATCACCATAAGTTCATTCTGTCTGTTCATACTGTATGAATTCATTTGTATCTGGCTTCTATTACTGTACGTAACATTTTAAGATTCATTTGTGTTGTTGTATATATCAGTAGTTCCTTTTTAGTGCTGAGGATTATTTGATTTGATTGTATGACTATGTCATAGTTTATCCGTTCTCCTGTTGACGTACACCTTTGGCTGTGTCCAGGTTTTGGCTAGTCAGAATAAAGCTGCTATAAATATTCTTGTACAGGGATTTTTGTGGACATATGTTTGTTTGTTTGTTTTTGAGACAGAGTCTCATTTCCCTGGCTAGAGTGCAGTGGCACTATCATAGCTCACTGCATCCTCAAACTCCTGGGCTCAAGCCATCCTCCTGCCTCAGCCTCCTGAGTAGCTGGGAGTATGGGACTACAGGCACGTACCACACTCCTGGCTAAGTTTTCTATTTTTTTAGAGACGGGGTCTCCTTCTTGCTCAGCCTGGTCTTGAACTCCTGACCTCAGGTCACCCTCCAACATCAGCCTCCCAGAGTGCTAGGATTACAGGAGTGAGCCACCGTGCCTAGCCATTTTTGTTTTGTTTTTTTTTTTTCTTTCCTTTTAAACTTCCAGGCAATTTTCCAAAGTGGTTGTACCATTTTACATTCCCAGAGTTCTGGTTACTTCACATCCTTGTTAACATTTGGTGTTGTCAGTCTTACTGTTTTGTCCAGTCTAACAGATGTGTAGTGGTAGCTCATAGTTTTAATTCTTATTACCCTGATGACCATTGGTGTTGAGTACTTTGTCATATGCGTATTGACCATTTGCATATCCTCTTTATGCAATGTGCATGTGCTTTGCCCATTTTTTTTTTAGTTTCTCTTTTGTCTTTATGTGCATAGCCAGTTCCACCACCATGTATTGAAGAGACTTTCCTTTCCCTGTTGAAATTGTTTTAGTGCCCTTGTTGAAAATCATTTGACTGTATATGTGTGGGTCTGTTTCTCTGCTCTCTGTTCTGTTCTATTGATCTATTTGTGATTGATTTTTATATCCCCAACATCTAATTTAGGCCCTAGTAAAAGTATAAATGCTCAATGAATGAAGGGACATAACAGTGGAATGGAGGAAGAAAGATGGCCACAGAATCATTGCTGGGCCATTCATAGGGAATTCTGTTCTTAAAATAATAGCCCCAGGAGAAGGTTTACAGCAAGTCTGTGGTTTCCTGCTTAGCACCTAAGACAGATATGCTTAGTTGCTGAGGCATTATTTATGCCAGAAAGGAATTTCCTATTAATGTGATTGTATGAGTCAATCATATTAACTTCAGCTACAATTATTTGTAGTACCTAATACATTTTAGAAACTGAATGAATACCTGATTATTAGTGTGATTTGTTTTTAGCTATGACCGTTCATGGCGCTTATGGGATTTGGAGGCTCAGGAGGAGATCCTGCATCAGGAAGGCCACAGCATGGGTGTGTATGACATCGCCTTCCATCAAGATGGCTCTTTGGCTGGCACCGGGTAAGGCTTCTTCTGCATAGCCGGGTATCTCAATAGTCTCACCTCTTACGTATTTCTGCTTCCATAGAGAACTGGATTCAAAGTGTTCATTTATAAATTATTTTATCAGGGGACTGGATGCATTTGGTCGAGTTTGGGACCTACGCACAGGACGTTGTATCATGTTCCTAGAAGGCCACCTGAAGGAAATCTATGGAATAAATTTCTCCCCAAATGGGTAAAATAAACTCACTGACACAGAGGTGGAAAGGGTTTTTGGTAAGAAAGTACTTGGTTTCTAACTTCGATAATGCATCTAATCCACAGCTACCACATTGCAACTGGCAGCGGTGACAACACCTGCAAAGTGTGGGACCTTCGACAGCGGCGTTGCATCTATACCATCCCTGCCCATCAGAACTTAGTGACCGGTGTCAAGTTTGAGCGTAAGCTTTCCTTCTGTTTTAGGCCCTAAGTAACAGACACACAGGGATTGTGCTTCCAGAAAATGTAGGCCAGGCTTTAGTTTTACTGAGAAGTGGAAGAGGAGAGAATTTGACCTCTATTAAAGGAGCAAATTATAATTTCCTTCCCTTTGCCATGCCCTTAGAGAGAACTATGGTAAAGCATGCTGCTTGTTGCCAGGAAGTAAAGAAGACTTCCACGAATGTTTTGCTTCCTCTTTCCTCCATGGACGTTCTAAGCACTGAATCCTTAATATTCTGAACAGATTGTCTATCAGGGAAAGAACCAAAAGAACCAAAACAATGTTATTTGTTCCCTTAGGTCACCTGTGGTTGTCACCTTTTCCTGGAGGCCTAGTAGGAATATAGAATCAGTGTTGGGCTTTTCTGAATGTAGAAATAACTCTTTTTTGAAATATGTTTTTGCAGATTTTCGTGCTTTTGTTTTCTTATGCTCTTTTGAATATTTGAATTCCTCAAGCCATTCCCCTTCTCTTCTCCTGTAGCCATCCATGGGAACTTCTTGCTCACTGGTGCCTATGATAATACAGCCAAGATCTGGACCCACCCAGGCTGGTCCCCACTGAAGACTCTGGCTGGCCATGAAGGCAAAGTGATGGGCTTAGACATTTCTTCTGATGGGCAGCTCATAGCCACTTGCTCATATGACAGGACCTTCAAGCTCTGGATGGCTGAATAGGCAAGACCATGGAAAAAGGACTCTAACTTCACGCACTCCCTTAGGAGCCATTTTCCTCAAAAGAAAAGAATTGTTTACTTCTATCATGTTTTATGCCAATTACCATGTATAGACCTGCAATAGAATTGGTTTTCCACGTCAGTCCCCACTCCAGGCAGGCAGCTCAGTCTCTAGGTGATGGGGAACCCCTTTCATGGTTGAAAATTTAATTCTCCTCTTCAGGCCTTGCCACGAACCGTGTAGACATTGTTTTTATTAATCCTTTGTTTGAATGCCCTATAGCCTCCCTCCTCACAGCATTCAGGATTGTGACTGACTCTTCCTGTTTTTAATTCTTAAAACTTGGCTTTTTGTAACGTGGTACATGCTTCAGGAAGGACTACATGTGACCCACAGAACAAGGTGGCTGGACTGAAGCCCTCAAGTAAAGAGGAGAGGCACATATCAGCACTCACTGATTCAACAGTGCCTGGCAGCGAGCACCTTTCTCCCTCGAGAATGGGAGATGAAGCAGTAGACCACAGCTATGCTGATGGTTATGCAGTGAAGATGATTCTACTTCTTGCTGTTGATTTCACTTGGAATGCTAACTGTATCAGGAAGCATCTGGAAACTCAGAACTGTACATTTGCCTTGTCAGAAAATGTCTTCCATTTTGCTTTGAAGTTTGACATCCTTCGTGTTACCCTAAAGCAAGGCCATTGTGTCAGGACTCAAATTTTTAGAAAGTGAACATGATGTCTCTGTTGTACAACCTTCTTTTCTGTTGGCTGTTTAATGTATTTCATGTATTAAAAGGTACTTCATCTTGAGGTAACTGGAAAAAATCCCTAATAGGTATTCCTAAACATAAACCTTTTCTTTTTTTCTTCGTTACACACTTGCTAAGAGTAAAATCCTATTATAAAAACTATCCTTTAAAGAATGATTTTCTATAGTTAAGCATTTTCTGAACCCCAGCTGTTGATCCATAGAAGTCCCTTTTTTTGGTTTGGAATGTAACAGATGATCTCAAATACAGGTTACTTCAATTTCTGTCTCCTTAGTAAGCACTGTTAACAATTTTTTTTAAATAGAGGACTGTTTGCATCGTGGGCCAGACCACCTGTGAGCTGTATCTTGACTCTGTAATTCTTATTCACTGGTTATGCATCTCTGAGCTCTAAAATTAATAGTAAATTCACACAAAAAGATAAGAATTTGGAAGAAGAGGCTCGTCTACAGAGGAGACATTAAAGAAAGGCTTATACAGGCCGGGCGCGGTGGCTCACGCCTGTAATCCTAGCACTGTGGGAGGCCGAGGCAGTGGATCCTTTGAGCTCAGGAGTTGGAGACCAGCCTAAGCAAGAGCGAGACCCCGTCTCTACTAAAAATATAAAGAAATTAGTTGGACAACTAAAAATATTTAGAAAAAATTAGCCGGGCATGGTGGCGTGTGCCTATAGTCCCAGCTACTCGGGAGGCTGGGGCAGAAGGATCGCTTGAGCCCAGGAGTTTGAGGTTGCTGTGAGCTAGGCTGACGCCATGATGCCACGGCACTCTAGCCCAAGCAACAGAGCGAGACTCTGTCTCAAAAAAAAAAAAAGGCTTATACAATAGCTTCCCCTTGAATGTTTAGAACTCTTTTCATTTGCTATTCGAGAGAGGTTGAGAATGGCTTTGTTCAGTGCTATTCTGTAAATTGTGAATGTGTGAGATACAGCTAAACATACTGTTTTTAGTCTGAGTTCAATTACAACCAAATAGTTACATTTCCCATGTAGTTAAGCTTATGAATTATCAAGTCTACCCTCTTGGGCACTTCACTGTTGTTTAGGTATTACTGAGTTCTATTTCCTTAATAGTTTGCCAGGAAAAGAAAGTATTTTTCATTACCACCTTTGTAGCATGTGTAAAATAATCAGGAACATCGGTATATTAGCATGCAGTTTGGATATAGTGTGCTAACAGGTTTTCACTTTCTCAGATTTAAATTTTACCATTAGTTCCCTTAAACCTGTTTATTTGTTTTTTGGTGATTGGAAGAGGTAGCAGTTAGGTAAAAACATTTCATCTAAGATTTGGCAGAACAAGTATCTTGTGGAATATCCATTCCTTCACAGGAAATAAATACCATTGTAAGAAGGTGGTTAGTTAAGCACAAAGCCAGGGGTGGCATTTCATGAAAATGACAAGATAAACATCATAGCCACCACCATAGCCTGCCTAGGCAGTGTACCAGGCACAGTCAGACATCTCATTTAATCCTCACAGCCTTAGGAGTTTATTATTCCCTTTTTACAAATAAAACTGTGGCTCAAAGAAATTAAGTAACTTAAGGTTTCCAGCTAGTAAGTGGTGGAGGCTGAGTTTGAACCCTGGTTGGTCTGACCGTTTGTGACCTTAAATATAAAGAGATTTCACAGGGCTTTATTAAGTATGTTGGCCACACTGCAGCCAGCATGGCCTGTATCTTGTACAAAGTCTGAGCTTTTTTTTTTTTTTTTGAGACATAGTCTCACTGTGTTGCCCAGGCTAGAGTGCCGTGGCGTCATCCTAGCTCACAGCAACCTCAAACTCCTGGGCTCAAGCCATGCTCCTGCCTCAGCCTCCCGAGTAGCTGGGATTACAGGCATGCGCCACCATGCCCGGCTAATTTTTTCTATATATTTTTAGTTGTCCAATTA